AGAACATTGTTAAATTAGTTACTTTGAAATTCTTGCCAACATCTGGATCATCTCAACATCACACACTATTGCTCATCTTTACTCTAGAGAATGGGTCACAATTTTTTGTTTGTTTTTGTATTTTAGTGTGTTACTTAATTTTAGATTGTGTACTGGATATTGTGAGTATTGCAATGTGCACATGTTTGAATAAGTCCTATTCACCCAAAGAACATTGTTTGTTTTAACAAACAGTAAAATTGATTGGACTTTTAAAAAAAATTCTCTGAGATGTCAGTTAAATCTGTTTAATTCTTTTATCTTTGTTTGGGATATGTACATGTGTGGTTCAGGATCATCCTAAGACTGAACAATTTATATGCAAAATTTTGAGGTTAACTTCATTAGCTCTTTCTTTTCTGCAATTCTCTGATTCTCCTCCACTTTTCCACAAGTTGATTGTCCTGAATGCTGTCACTAGTGTAGTCACTCATAAAAACTCCAAGTTTTCTATTAGAGTTTTAGCAGATTTGCGTGAGGTCTGCTTTCAGGCTCAAAGCTTTAATAGGGGAAACAGTCAATATCTTCCTCTTTGAAGTGTAGGATTGTCTTTAGGATCTTACATCTTTTCAGTCTTCAATGTTTTCAGTTTTTTTAATTTGTCAATATTTATTGTTAATATGTGTGAAATAGTTGGTCCACTGTGAGCTTTGTAGACCACTCCAGAAACAGAGCTCGCCTAGTAGACTGTTGAAATTGTGAGATGAATGTTTGCCTTAGTGTAGCATGAACCCTAGTAAGAAGTACACAAATATAAGAGAAAAAATGTACAGAATTTTTCATGACATCTAGGTGTGAGAAACAAAGACAAGAAAAAAGTCAAGATATTAAGGCTAAGTTGCTATCAGTTAAAAAATAAATAAAACCAAGGAAATTGAAGTGTAGTGTAGGTCAGCTCAGGCTGCCATAGCACAATACCATAGACTGGGTGACTTAAGAATAGAAATTTATGTGTCAGAGTTCTGAAGGCTGAAAGTCTGAGGTTAAGATGCTGACCAATTCAGTTTGGGGTAAGGATCCTCTTCCTGGCTTGCAGACAGCCACCTTCCCTCTGTGTCCTCACATGGCATTGAGAGAAAAAGTTTTCTGGTGTCTCTTCTTATAAAGATATTAACCATAATTTAACCTTCATGACTTCATTTAACCCTTTTTTCCATGAAGGTCTGTCTAAAAATACAGTCACATCAAGGATTACCGCTGCAGTATAGAATTTGGAAAGGAGGAGGACACAATTTAGTTCATGACAAAGGAGAATCTTGCTCAAAGCAAAAAAAGATGATGGATTATTTTGGATATGTTACATATGAGATGAACAAGCTACAAGTTGTTAGAGATTTGGAGTGGAGCATGGAAAGAAGAATATTGGGGACAGATTTATAATCCACCAATGAAGAAGAGTCAGAGCTGATGCTGTGGCACTGGGTGACTTCTCTGAGGGAGAAAGCATAGTTCAATACAGAGGATTAAGGAACAAGGATAAAATCACCTGTAAACTCCCGGAGAATGTGAAGGAGGAATAAATTATCAAATAAACAAGTTGTCAGAAAGATAGGAAGAGAAACAGGAAAGTAAAATAGTGTCAAGGCAGAAAAAAAGAGTTGTGAGAAAGAGAGGGTTATGAGGAAATGGTCAACAGGGCTAAGCCCGGTAAGAAAGGTCTTGAAAAGGGCCACAGTCAAAGTCCCTATATTTGTAAACTAGGAAATCATTATTGACTTTTGAGGATGCAATCTCATTAAAGTGATTGCGAAGAGACTGAGATAAGAGCTTAAGTCAGAGCAGGATGGGGCTGATATGAGGGACATATTTAGGGTTGAAATAGGGAGTTGGATTACTGGGATAGTGAATGCAGTTAAGAAACCACTGAAATGTCCAAAACTGCCAGAGAAAATAGAGCCTGCTGGGTAACCTATGACTTCCAGCTTACCTCATTCATTCCTGCAGCAAAAATCATTACATATCACTTTATTAAGCAATGTTGCATGCACAATGTAAAAATATAGCTCTTCTCTCAAGTAGCATCTGAGTCTCTTCTGCTCCCTGCCAACACTCAACTTGTGTTCTTCTGTGCATTCAGATTTTTCCTGAGTGAGTTGGCACTCAACTGGACCTGTTTCTTAACAGGACCATGTTCCTTATCCTTTGAGAACCCCCACTGGATCATACTGTTTGCTCTTTTGGAGCAGAAAAATCAAATGATTGTTTACTCTTTTAATAGTAAGACAAAGTTGGAGAGTCAACATTGAACTTTTTCATGAAAACCCCCATCATTCTTTTTAAACATTGAGGCATGATCAAAGGGTATAATGCTTCATTCAGTTAGAAAGGAGAAATAATAAGAATCTGAGGTGACAAATATATTAGCTTGATTCAATAGTTGCATATTATGTATAGATATATCATAGAGCTTCACTTTGACCCCATAAATACATAAACATTTGTCAATAGTCAATAAAATGTTTTAAATGTGATGATACTGCCAATTATCAAATTGTCAGCTTAACTCTAAGTTTTATTTTATTTAGGCTATAAACTTTTATTACTCATATAAACTGAGTGTTTAGTAAGTAGTAGACTGATTCATTTAGACTGGGGTCAGTCCTAGGAATTAACATGTTTTCAAAGCTTTCCAGTTGACTTTATTGTGCACCCAATATTGAAATTCACTGAATTAGAGATCTGTGGTTTTGTGGTGGTGATTTTTTCCAAAGACCCTGGCTTTGAGGTGGGAGCAGAAATATTAATGTCCTCTGAATTTGAGAGTGCTTTCTGCCCTTGCTCTTATTTTAGAGTGACTTCTGTTGGCACTCTGCCCAACTCTAACTTTTTAAGGATATTATGAATAATTTTAACAACACAATAAAGGATTTTTTAAAAATTCCAATGCAAATTAAATTTTTCGGATGAAAATGATTACACCTACAGTTTATCTGCTTCCAAATCAGAATGTATTATTAGTTTGATGAGTCACCTTTATTGTGTAATTCTCATTTTGACTTATATTAGTTGGCATAGTTTGGACTATAGCCACTTTCAGAATATTGCTATATTGTTTTAATGTAAAGAAAAGGAAAATTCAATGCCTCTATGTCTAGTAACTCATCTGGAGCATAATGAAAGTATCTGTTTTTAATAGATCCTGTGTTTCTAGCTACATTCTAGGTGTTTGGTAGAAATAATCCCATGTGTTATAGTCCCTATCATAATGTTGAAAAGACTTATAGAAAAAAATATATATAACAGATAAAAATTGTACCAAGCTCTATTTTATAATATCAGAATATCAAAGATACCTATTATGTGGTGTGAAGTGAGTGAAAGTAACCTCAAAGCCTAAAATAAGCTTGCAACTAGCTTAGCTGCTTGAAATCCACTGGGGAAAAGGATATAGACACTGAAACATACTAAACCAAGTTCAACATCTGCCTAGTTAAATCACCTTTTTTAAACTCCAGGGAAGGCACGAAACACTGCCAACAAAAAATTGCCTTTATTTTATAACCCTTGGTCTCACAGATAAGGGAGAGATAATTTGGCCATAGAAGAAAAAAATAAGGAAAAAAATAATAAATGTGTAGTTGAAAATGGCCTGTAGGAGAGTAGCTGCCACATAGTAGACTCCTGATGCACATTGGTTGAATGAACTAATGAAATGAGAGAAATACACTGGCAAATCGTTTGGACTGAAGCAGAGATTTATGTCTGAGAATTATCTGTTGTTGTTATAAATCCAGTATTAAATTACTTATGTGCTTCTTTTATGATTTTTTTTCACCACTGATATAGTAACTGCCAACCAGGAGAAGGCCAAAGGAACTTACCATGAAAACAGATGAAAGTGTTTTGTCCTGCTTGCTTCATTCCCCATAGTCCATTATAACTCCTGTGTTCTTACAAAGGGTGACCTAAAATGCTCAAAGAAGCCTGACTTTTCAAAGCTCATCTGGATTTTGTTTGAACTTCTAAGAACTGCATCATCATTAGAAAAGTAACCTACTTAGGCTAATTTAAGAAATTTCTCTGTTGTCTTCAACTTGGCATGCGACTATGCCCGTCCCTTCCATCCCAATCAATCTTATTAATGGAATAGGTTGACAGTGTTCTAGTGCTTTTGATTAACTGCTGCTTAGAAATTTTACTTTAGATTCTTCTTTATACCCACTCAAGATCACCCACTCACTATAAGGTTTTAAAGTGGTTCTGATATTTGATTTTATAAACAGCCTAATCGATGTTTAATTTCCATAACATAAAATTCACCCATTTAAAGGGTACAGACAGTTAATTTCCATCAATTTAGGTGGCCACGCCACCATTGTCACAATCCATTTGGGCCATCCTTAGCCTCAGGCAACCACTGATCTGCTTTCTGTAGTTATAATTTTCTGTCCTGTTTTGTAGAGCTGTCATGTGAATGGAATCAGAATATCTCTGATACACTTATTTTTTTAACTAAAAAACTAAGTTCATCTTATTAAGATGGCCAAAGACCAACTAAATTAAGTGGACCTTATATTTCACTATAAATGATGATGGAATAAATTAGAATTTTCTTAATCGGGTGTGAAGACTAATTTATTGTGGGTTTCATTTACTTTACTGAATTGCAACTTCTTTTCTTTCTGCTAGATAGCTTGTTCAGTTTTGAGCTATGCTTTACCTGTTACCCCTTCAAAATATATGGGTTAACATTCTTTCCAACTTTAGGCTTTTCTCTAAAATCTATATTATTATGACTCATTTTTCCAGAACTACAAGTACTTATGTGTGTGTAAAGGCAAAGAAAAGACAGACTTCCAAAATTTGTGGGTAGATGAATGGATGTATGATGAATTTATGACTTCATATATTTAGGCCTCAGGAAGTTTGTTTAAAGCATTAGTTCTCAGGGTGTAGAGAACTAATAAATAGCATATATGTTTGGATTAGAATTTCATTTCTTGTGTGTTTTCATTTCACAGAAGAAATATGAAACATGTTCTAGCAAGGAATAAAGCATTACAGTGGTCCAAATCCTACATTTTGCCAGAGTTTCCCTATGATGTCAAATGCATGTTAGCAGAGCAGAAATGTCCAGATCACAGCATGAGGATAAGGATCATTGAGTTTCTCCAGGCCGACATGACTAAGTATCTGGAAGGTTCACTGTAAGTGATAACAGGGAAAACTTGCTGGTTTGGGGGAGGATCTGCCTTGGAATAGTGTAGAACTCACTTGCAATGAGGTCTCTTCAGATTTTGAGTGACATACGGGATCTAAGTCTAACATGCCAACAGTTGAATGTCTATTTTGTTCTATAGAAAGATTTGAAGAGGAGTCAGTGCAACTTAGACTCCTCTTGAATATGGACTGCTAAAAATGAAAGCTATTTATCCCTGTTATGAACAGGTATCCCACCACACAGCAATACAATGATGTGGTCAACGCCCTGCTGCAGGCCCACCCCTTCCTGGACGAGGATGGCTGTGGCTTTGTAAGTAATGACATGGCACCACCAACCTGTTCATCTGAGTCCATCTTAAGATAATAGCCTGTATTGTCCACTTAGATTCTGATATTCTTTCCCCTTTGGTTCTCTCTCTTTCTGACTGTCCCTATTTCTTTCTTTCTTGTATTCTCTTCCTCCTCTCCTCTGTCACCTCCCTGTGATAACTTCTCTGTCTCTGCCTCATCTGTGTTCCTTTGTCTGCCCATCATCATCTTTCTGTCCCTCTCTTAAAGCAGTCTGGGAGCTCCTATGTGACCCTCTAGGAAGGAGAGGAGATGACATGTGTCGTTGTGTCGTGGCTGTCATCAACCAATTGTCTCTTGCCCTCTGATTAGAGCCAGTGGGGAAGTTGTCTGCTTGGAGGCCTTGCTTGCCTATCTCACCTGCCCTATCAAAACTCCAGTGTCTTGACACCCCAAGATATATGGGCAGCAGTTCTAAACTCTGACTGCACCTCAGGAGACCCAGAGATTTTTTTGGTTTAATGGCTCTGAGGATATGGCCCTGACATGAGTAATTTTTAAAGTCCCCCAAATTATTCTAATGTATATCCAGGGTTGAGAACAGCTGCTCAGTACAAACCCAACTTTCTGTATCTGCCTGATTCTTGAATTTGAAAGACTGGAATCTTTGTTGTACAACAGTATAAAAATACTTAGTACTAGTGGACTATACATTTAAAAATATTTAGATTATAATAAAAGGTTGAGTGCTTATGATATGCACTAGCAGTATATGATTTAATAAACAATTATAGGGAAATAAGTTCTGTGTACATAAAAACCTACTACTATCCCTGTATTTCTATATGACATGTGTATATACAGTGGTAATCATAGCTAAGTAAGATATATGTCTTCCTGTATCTTACCATGTCTGGGCTGTCAGAAAGTACTTTTTTGGTTGTGCTTTCTTAAAGACATAGGGTTTAAGCAATTAGTTTCAAATTGAACAAAAAAGATACATGCCAACATCATTTAAGGCCTTTGCTTGCTTACTTGAATGTTTTCTTTTCTTTCTCTCTCTATCCCCCTTCCTTCCTCTCCTCCCTCCATCCCTTTCTTCCTTCCTTTCATTTCATATTTTCAGAATGTGTTTCATTATAAATGAATAAAATCATAGATTTTCTGGAATGATAGAAGGCCTTAAACATATTTTAGCACCCATCTAGAAACTGTAAAATTGTAAAGCCAAGACTAGAATTCAGGAATCCTTGCTTCTAGGATGCCATCTTTTCTAAAATATGCTGCTACCTATAAAACACACTATAAAGTTACCAAAAGTTTCTCTAAAATAAAAAAAAAATAATGCATCAAAACCCTGGGGTCTTAACATTGTAGTCATTGCAATATGGTTGACAAAATCAAATCTCAGCATTCCTTTGACATTCAAAATACAGGAACTATATCTTGAATTAGTATCGATATCAGTGCTACTGTGTATAGAAATACAGTCAGACCTCCACGTTCACAGATTTCACCTCCTCAGATTCAACAAACCTTGAATACTGTGCTTTGTAATTAGGCTTATGATGGTTGTATCTGTACCAAACAGGTACAAACTTTTTCTCTTGTCATTATTCCCTGAACAATACAATAAAACAATTGTTTACATGGCATTTACAGTGGAACAGGTATTACAAGTAATGCAGAGATGATTTAAAGTAGTGGAGGATGTGCGTAGGTTATATGCAAATACTATGCCATTTTATATGAGACTTGATTACCTGTAGATTTTGGTGTCTGCCATGGGCTACTGAACCAATCCTCTGTGGATACCAAGAGATGACTATGGTTGAATTTTTAAAATAATTGAAATTTTCTATTTGAATAAATAATACATTTACCTAGTTCAAAATTCAAAAGTTTCAAAAAGATAGAATAGTCCCTACCCTGGTTTTCCAGCCACTTAGCTATCCTATCCAGAAGGAACCAATGTTATTAAAGATTCCTTCCAGAGAATCTTTGCACATATATAAGCAAATCCATATCTCTCCAATTACATTTTGACCTTTACTTTTATGGTTATCAAAGTGAGACATGCACAGAGTAATAAACAGTGCTTACTTTGCTCTGAAGTGCATTTTACCCACATCTGTTCCCAGTGGCATTAACTAAAGATGGTTAACTGAGAAAGAGACAAGGAAAATTGCTTAGCAGGTTGTGGCCACTATTTTCACACTTAGAAGTATAGAAATAGAGAAGTGGAAACTGGTACATGGATGGGTGCTTACTCAGATTCTCCCCACAAGTGTTACATTGCAAAGTATAGAAAAAATTTAAGAACGTTTTGTGGAGGGGGTGGGGAGAAAGTAGGCACTTGATTACTTTTAGGGCTAATTTTATTTTCAACTTTTCATTTTGAAAAATTTCATATCTGCACATAATTAGAATGCTGTGGTGATACCATATACCCTTCAACTAAATCAAGGTTTCTCAGCCTTCACACTATTAACGCTTAGTGCTGGATAATTTTTGTGGTGGGAGTTGTCGTCTGGCACTGTGCATTTTAGCATATTTAATGGCATCCCTGGGCTCAATCCATAGTACTGGGGGAAAAAAATAAGAAAAACTAATCTCGGTTAATTAGCTATTAACATTTTGCCACACTTTCGATTCTTCTCTCATGTTTGTTTTAGATGAGCATTTAAAAGCAAGTTACAGATGTGATTTCTAAATACCTTAGTGTATATCTTAAAAGTATAAGAACAATTCTCTACATAACCATTATGCAGTTTGCACCTAAGAAAATTAAAATAATTGTGTAATATCACATGTAATCTGTATTGCTATTTCTCTAATTATTCAAAAATATTTTTTAAAGTAGATTTTTTTTGCTATAAAACCTAATCATGGATTATGCATTGCATATGGCTATTATACTTATTTAATTTTGCCTAGGACAGTGTTTCTAACCATTTTTGTCTTTACTGACATTTACTTTTTGGTCAAATGTAGTCCACTTGTTGTGTCAGATGGTCTACATTCTGTGTTTGTCCAAATGTTTTCTAATGATTATATTTTGGATTTAAAATACTGAACAAAGATCTGCTTTGATGCTGTGGTTTGCCTCATGTGTCACAACAGGCCCATAATTTCAGGACTTCTTTTAAAAAAAAATTTCAGAGTGATTAGGAGAACTGTATCAATGTAGAAATTTCATGTCCTCTAGTTGGAAAAGTGTAGAGAAAAGGGATGACTATGCTATACCACAAATATTTTCTACTGAGTCTGTCCACCAAAGGTATCTATGCTTAGTAAATACTCATTGATTGAATACTCATTAATTGTGCTCAATTGGTTCTTCTTTTCTTCTTACCAATTAATAAGGAGAGATGGGAGAAGCTAGGAAAAAGAAGTTGGCAATTCAACAATGTCCTAGCACTTGATTGCAATAATATTTTCTGCCAGGTTTAGCAGGTGTAGAGGCCCTTCAGAGCTGTAGGAAGTATGAGAAACAAATGTATTTGTTCTAGTTTATATTTCAGGGCTAAGAGAAATATAAGCCATCTATTATTTCTCTGCTATTATATGTCAGCTACAGCAGAGACCACAGGCCTGTGGGAGGTAATAAACATCTCTGATGCACATGTACCCAGGAACCCAATCTGTACTGAAGCCAGCCCCAGCTTCAGCCTGCAGCTCTCCTGGCCAGTCTGTCCCAGGGTTTTATGATCAGCAGTTTATAAATACCTTCAATGAGTAGCTATACATTTGATTCTCTTAAAACCCCAGTACAGGGGCTGGGGGTGTAGCTCAGTGGTAGAGCATTTGCCTAGCACATGTGAGGCACTGGGTTCAATCCTCAGCACTAAATAAATAAATAATAAATATATTGTGTCCATCTACAACTAAAAATATTTTTTAAAAACCCAGTACAGTTGAGAACAGCTCTTATTGTTCCATTTTATAGTCAAAGAACAAAAGCTACAGGGGTTTAATTGTTGAAAGTCACTTGTATTAGAGATAATACTCAATCCTGGGTCTTCCCAACATAGGTCACAGTGCTTTCTGAAGGGCAGAAAATACTCTTATTGGAACTTGAGCCGTAAATCCAGGAATGGCAAGATCCAAAAGCCAAACACTGTCTAATGTTATCTCAATGACATCCCCATTTGTTCCTAAGAAAATAGTTTTTTCTCTGATTGTATTTCCTTAGCTATAATTTAAGGATTATAATTTGTATTGCAATGTCACAAGACTATTGTAAGGATAAATCAAAGAATAGGTACATCACTTCTGTTACTGTGATATGAAAATAATTTCAAGCCCAAGAATCACAGGTGAATATTTTATTGTTTATATGGAATTATTCTAAGCTCCTAGGATTAACTGGCTTGCTTTGTTATTTTATGCAGTTTTTATGGAAACGAGCCCTCAAAGATCGTTTTAAATATGTCCGAAGACCCATAGAAGATGATGAACAAGTAATAAAAAATAAGTGCAAATTTGGACACCGAAGAGGCCAGACAAGGAAATCTCTTGCTGATATAAGATTTGATGAAATTAAAATTGTCCAGATAAAAGTAAGATTGAATCCTTAAATGTTCTGACAACTTTGACTCATTGGTTGATTAAGGAATAATAATTTTAAAAAATAGCATTTAAAATCATTGCAACAAAATTAGATAACTTTTAAGATTTGAGGTGTGGTCAGGAACCTATTAAAAACAATGGTTTGTGTGGTTAAGAATGTAAGTCATATTTCTAAAAGAGAAGTGTCAAAAACAGTTTTTAGCAAGAATACTATTGAAGATCTCATAGTCATTTTGTTATAGCCTTCAAAGAACATGAACTAGCCCTTGAGTTCTGGGACCTGAAATGATTTCCCACCCTATCCTTCTGTAACACACTGCATCTTCTTGACAACCTTACTGCATCAGCAAGTTTTAATACTCAAGCATTGTAGAGGTCAGGTGGCCTTGAGTCTCAGGATCTAGGGAGGCAATAGGTCATACGCGTTCGCACAGAAATCCATGCTGGCCTTCCCCTACCTACTGGTCCAGCATCTTCTCTTTTGTTGATACATCCATCATCTTTGAACCAGTTTTTACACTCTGTTCCTTCTTAAAACGTGCCTAAGGAGCTGTAGACTTTCCAGTTTGCCCCTTCTAGTCCTCCAGATGAGCCTAAATCCTAGGATAAATCCTGCTGAGACCCACATAGGGGTCTTTGCTTCAAAAAGAACAAGGAATTGAATATATCAGGGTTAGATGTTAAGTTGCAATAGAATCTAGTTTGTACCTTCCTGTCAGCTGAGCTAAAAAAAGAAATTAGCCATTTTTCAGATCTAGAGAGACAACATTTTTCCTGGCAAACAAATACAATTGGAAGGATTTACTTTCCCTCCTTTATAAATGAAGCTGCAAATTGCTGATTCTTTCATGTCTGTAGCCTGTTTATGATCTCATGTTCTACAAAGCCAAAAACATTAAAGGATGGAAAACAATGTATACTGAAATATTACAGAAACCGTGTATTTTGTACCTTCCCTGGTGATTAAAGCAAATGTATGAGCACCGGGAATAGTGGGAGTGAGAGACTCCCATACTTTGAATTTACCTCACGGAATTGTATTTTCTGGTACTGGGAATGGAACCTAGGGCCTTGGGCATATTAGGCAAATACTCCATCACTAAGTCACATCTCCAACTTTTTTTTTATTTTGAGACAGGATCTCCTTAATTACTCAGGCTGGCCGCCAGCTTGTAATTTTGCTGCCTCAGCCTCCCAAGTAGGGGAGGGACTCACCTGAGGCACTGTGCCTGGTTTACTCAAGGAATTCTATCCTCCAGTCTGATTGCTTAAATTTCTTTCAATCTCCATTTTGACCTTCTTCTGATAGCTCCTTTTTTAATGTCTGAAGATTTCTGAAGATAAAAGTTGCTTAGATTAAGACACCCTTGGGCAACTCTTACATCTTTTAAAATTCCTTGTCTGTGCACAATTTTTCCATAGGAAAAAAATTTCATGTGCTACAGAGATGAAAAATGTTGACATAACCAGGAAGCAGTGGTCTGTGTCTGTGCCTTCAAAGGCAGAGAAGTGGGTTGGGCCAGCTGGAAGATCTTGAGAAGGGATATGGAAGGAAAAGAGATTTTAACTAGTTTTTGTTGTGGTGGTGGTAGTTGTTCTATTTCTGCTGTTGTTTGTCCTTTTGGTGGGAGGATGAAAGAAAATAGATGTCACAGTGAAGGAAGGTAGGGATTTTAGTTTTGTGATGTGGGCTTCCATAGGTAACCCAAAATACTGCAGTACTTGTCTGGCTCTGAGCCACACTTTTTTTTTTTTTTTTTTTGTACCCAACCCTCTACCTTCCAGAATCTCTTGTGAGTTTAGCTCTGCTTTCTGTTTGGCTACAAAGCCCAGATCATCTGAAATGCCAGAGCAACATCTGTGAGTCAGTGTGGCTGGTTCCTTTTATCCCACTGCTAAAAACAATTTCACGATGTTACACAGGTGGCTAGACTAGTCACAGTCCCACAAAATGCTGGTTATTTTTCAGTGCTTAAAAATGCCTTTCTAAGCTGGGTGCAGTGGTGCACACCCATAATCCTAGTTACTCTGGAGGCTAAAGGGGGATAGTAAGTTTGAAGCCAGCTTCAGCAACTTATTGGGACGATGTCCCAAAATTAAAAATAAAAGAATCTGAGGATATAGCTAAGTGGTTCAATCCCCAGTAACCTCCCATCCCCCCCACCCCCACCCCCACCAACACTTATGCACATGCAGAGCCTTTTCATTCCCAGACCCCTTGTTGCTGCTCATATGCTTGTGCAATTAGTGCATAACTGTACCATCACTTCTTATGCATTGACTTTTAGTGTAAAAGGAAACAAATTGAAACATAGAAAAAAAGCACAGAGCAATGAAAATATACCATGAGTGAGCAAACAGGTACAAATGAATTAGGTCCAAATAATATGTAGCCCTGTGAATTGATAAATCTGTTTCCTTTTCTAAATTGCCTTTTTATTATCCACATCTTTATATATTTATAAAGAGACATATTTCGGTTTTCAAAACAGTAGATTTAGTTTCAGTAATTTTGTAAGTTGATGACATTATCTTGTTTAAATGATGAAAACATTAGCTTCAAAACCTCACAGGAATTGTGTGGAGCTGATCCCAATGTACTAGATTCCTTTATATAGTAGTAAATTTTGTAAAACATCTCAGGTTAATTAAAGTTAAGTGAATCAAACTCCTCACTTCATGGCACATTATCACTGTCCTCTGTTAGGATTTTCTCTTGCTTTATCTATCAATTTTTATCCCCATTCTTTTCTGCCTTCCTCCCGCTCCACCTCTGCTGTGAACAACCATTCTAAACATTTCATATGTGTCTGGTTCTTTGCCAGTGCTCCAAAAGATGTACTGTCACTTAGGTATCTATACATTTGATTTAATGTGAATGGTATCCTATAGCTCATCTATTTCACTTTTTTAAAAACCAAACTCTTTCTAAGATTCACTCATGTTGCTCTGTAAGTCTCTAGTTCATTGATTCTAAGCAGTATGAAGTACTCCTGGCCTCAAGTGCTGTTCTTCCCCAGTACAAACTGCACTCCAGAGAATACCATTATACTTATCTGGTTATGGGGTGATGAGTTATCACTTTGGACTATACATCCAGAAGTGAACTGATGGGGACACAAAGCGTGCATAGACTTAATGTGACCAGTTACCTCCAGAATGCCTTTACTAGATTCACTCCCACAGCAGCACATACCCCTGTATTTCCACAAACCCTTGGCATTTTCTGACCTACAAAACTTTGCCAAGACTAATAGGTATAAAGTATAATCTCATTCTTGTGATTTGCATTTCCCTGGATAATTAATGAACCAGCATTTCTTCACATATGTGTTAGCCTTTTGAATTTGTTATAGAAAATTATCTCTTTAAGTCTATTGCCCATTTTCTAATGGGTTGGCATCTTTTTCTTGTTAATACAGGAAAAAGGAAGCAGTCTTTGTAGGAAGCAGTCTTTCCCATGCCCTAAGCCACAAGGATGCTCTCCTACTCTAAGTGTATGATTTTAGTTTCCATGTTCAGATATTTAATTCATCTGGAATCTATCTTTATATTAAATAGGGACCTCTACATAGTGAACTGCTTTCTGTACACCAATAACAAAACAATCCATCATTTTCTCATTGGTTTATGGTGTCCCTTTATTATTTATTAATAGAGCTGGGTGTGTCCTGGCAATTCTCTTATTCCGTTGGTCTGTCAGTCTCTTCTTATGCCATTCCACTTTGCACTTTACTCTTTTATGTTTATTACTTAGTATCACTAAGGGTGGTCTGGATTATCATGGAGGGCATGCTGCATCAGGGTAGCCCGTCAGTGGAGAGCATTCTGGGTAGGCTCATTCTCATTTTCAGAATAAGGGGAAAGACAACGGGTCATCTTCTCATGAACAAGTACCCAGGACTTCTTTGTAGCATCTTTCTTCTTGCAGAAGAAATAACCCAGACTAGGGGTGCTACACATAGGTGGACCAAAAGAAGGTTTTGAGCATCTGCCAGTGTGAGAAGCATCAGGAAGTGTTCTGTCTTACTCTTGTGGAGGATTGGCTGTGATGAGATGGAGAGGGCCTGATGGAAGGATTCCGCTCCTTTTGTCCTGACTCTGGAATAGGAGATGTCCCTAGGACGGTGGTTTCTGATATGCATGGGGCACCAGAACTTGGAGTGTGGACATTATTCTCAGCTTGATGCTCCTCATTTCTTGGTCTTGGTTCCTCCTTCACCCAGTGGATTCATTTAACCTTTCTCTCAGGTCTCTACCAAATGCCACATTGAAGCATAAACATGTAGACATACTTTTTGAAATGTTTCAATTCTTCCTTAATATCTTTTTTTTTTTTTGACTAATGTATGCATGTTCTTTTCTTAGTCACAAAAATCCCTTTCAGCCAGTAGCACTCTCAATCTATTATCATAAACTTTTTTGTTCTCAGGAAATAAGTTGGATTTGACAATAGCCAGAGGTCCTTCCAAAATTCCCTAAAACACAATGGATTTTATTTTTTAGATACCTAGCTCTTCAAATTCATGGTTGACCTGTTCATCTCTTTTGAAAATATTCTGTCTTTATGGGGTAAATTCACTCTAAATTGGATGCTTGGTGAAAAATGTGTTCCTGAGCAGTACAGGAAGGACTTTGAAGTTTCAGCTACAGATTTGCTTCTTTTTTTCTATGTTATCTTTCTTTCCTTTTTTATTTTTTCAGTGTTAGAAATTAAACGTAGGGCCTTGTGCTTGCTAGGCAAATGCTCTACCACTGCTACCACTGGGCCCTACTTCCAGCCCCTTCTGTTTTTTGTTTGTTTGTTTGTTTGTTTTTCTAACTCAGTGGAATTGTCTCAGTTTGGAGACTTTTAATTGTTATCTAGTTGGTTTATGATCAGTTATTTGCTGATGATGTTCAGAAAGTACAGTTCCCAAATCTTAGGGACAGGACCTTTATTTACATAGATTATTTTACCTTTGTTAGTTTAATCTAAATTTGATTTGTT